CACTCCTGTGCTTCAGTGTTAGACTTTGTGCTGAAAATGTGGTACAATAAATACATGTGCATTCAACATGCTGCTGCCTGCCTTGCTGCTGAGAGGGGCTGACAGCTCTAGGAGCTTGGGGGGTGACCAAGGAAGATAAATACAAATCCAAACAAGCCCAGAGGCTTTGGATGGATGGATTCTTCTGGGCAGCAGTGAGTTCCAGTACCCTGAGGCCTCTAAATCATCCTGTGCTGGGTCAGAGGGGATCTCTCCCTTCAGTCTTCTCTGCATACAGACCTTCCTTCATCTTCCATTGCCTGAGAAAGCTCAGAGGGGCTGGATGTGCTACTCATGACCAGCACTGCTATCCTGGAAGGAACTTGAAAGGGAAGGAGTTTGAGTTTCATTGAGCTGTTCTAGGATTCTAGAAGGGTTTCCTGTCACTGTAGTTGGGCTGAAAGGTCCCTGCTGATGCCTTCCCCTTCCCTGGCAACACAGACGTCAGCAGCTTTGGCACAGAGGCCCCAGGGAACACACACCAGGCTCTGCCACTGGGAATTCACAGAGTTCTGAAAGCAGCCTGAGGGGCTGGAGGAGCAGAGCAGTTCCCTGCCCCAGCCTGGGATGTCTGAAGAAGCTCATGGTGGGTTAATAACATGCAGCTTGTTCTTGAGCAACTTGGAGTCAACTGTCAAAACTTGCATCTCACAAACAAATCTGTTACCTCAGCAACCACGAAACAGCTCCAAGCCTTCCCTGGGACACCAACTGCCCTCCCCAGGGAGGGAGCTGGTCAGGCTCCAGCCAGACAGCTCAAGAACTGCTCTGGCAAACCCTTAATTGTACCCTTAATTACCCTCTGCCTGTTCAAACTCCCAAGGATTAGTTCTCCATCCAGATTCCATCTGAAATCCAACTGCAGCTTTGCTTCCCTCTGACTCCACAAGAGGCAGCTACAGGAGCCATTGTCAGTGCTGAACTCTTACCAGTTCTTTTTGCAAATCATTGTTCCCTTATTTTATCAGGTCCCTTGCTGACTGCAAAAAAAGGGGGAGATGAAAGAACTGTCCGTGCACTGAACTGATGTGGAAACTCAGTATAGAGAGTATCTGCTCCCTTTCCACAGTCTTCCAGGAGTTCAGTTCACTGAAGTGCCACTCTCACCTCACACTGATCTGTCTCAGTCCATGGGAAGGGCAATTGGCTCTTCCTCTGGTGATGCAGCACTCACATACCTGTAGCTTCACCTTCACCCACGGAGCCACACCTTGCTGGGTGGGACATCCTCACCCTCCCACGTGGCCACAGCACACCCAGAGGGTCAGTGACACAACCTGCATACAAAGAGCTCATTTTACTTTCTTCTCCTTTATTGCTCAGCTTAACTTCCACCCCAACCCTCACTCACCCCTTTGGTTGTACTGGTTCTGTAAAAGATAAATCCAAGTCAGAGCCACAGGGACATCTTTCCTCCTATTCACTCTTGCCCAAAACTGCAGTGACTATCAGCCTGTCACAAACAGCCCCAAGTTGTCCTGAGCTGACAGGGATGTTAATCAGTGCTGGCAAAAAACAACTGAAATCTTGTTAAAAGATAAAAATATCAACCTGACCTGAGAAAAAATAAATGTATCTAGCTGCTTCAGCTGAAATTATCAGCCAGGAGTTACCTACTGTGAGGGTATAACTGCAAATCCTCATGGCTGCTGGATGAGCTGTTTCCAGTGACCTGGACCAAGGGTGATGACTTATGGCTAAACCAAATCCTTCACCTCAGGCATTCCATGGCCCAACCCTCTCTTAGGTGAAAGATTTT